TACCTCCCTTTATCGGCTCCGCGAGCCACCGCGTGTCTTATCGATCGTTCTGCTCGCCAAGAGGATTTTCATCGGACCGAGTAACTCCGTCCGGGATTAAGCTCGCGACTCTCTTGGTTGTTACGACGCGAAATTAAGGAGGTTTCCTCGCCTCCCTGGCTCGAAAAATGCCCACTGTTTCGAACCTTTCGAGAGGAAATCGCGTGACACGACGAATCGAAACTTTTTCGATAGGTGACCCCCGAAGATTTTGGTATTGCGATGAATCTTTACCCGTTTTCACGCACCCCTTTTGATTATCGGAGTTTACGGACCTTTTTGTATGCAATGTTCATCAACCTTGCTTCCGATCCCAAATGCAGTGGCGGCTATCCTGAACAAGAGATACTTACACTATACGCGTGACATTTATTTATACATTTATAACACGTGGATCGCAATAAAATGTATTTGTGTTCGGAGCTAAACCATCCAGGCCACTGAAATATATACTTTCGTATTTGTATTGAATATTTGCGCTGTAGCTTTGTTGAATGTTAATTTATATGCAAAAGGGTTGAAAGCGTTTGGTTCGAGAAGGAAAAAGTAACCAGGGACAGCGAGACAACGAGATTCTTATATGATATTAATTTGTGTAAAAAGATTGTGTGCTTGGTGTATTTCAAAGTCGTTTAAAAAAACATTCATGAAACTTTTTCTTTGGTAAAGGGGTAAATCGCTACAGGGATTAACGACTGTATCCACCCTATATTCGTTTTTTTACTATTTTTGTGAGAAAGCCGTATTATTATCGTTATTTAATCCTTGGACCAACGAGTTCCGTCCAGTCGAAAGCCAAAGGATGCTCGTATCCGGTGCCATGGCATAGATGCTGGGGAAAGCAGTTCTTCTTGGCGAGAGAGCTACGCCAATGCGAGACACTGAACGAGGGGTGGCAGGAGCACTAGTAGCGTAGTTAGGGGTGGCTCGGTAGGGATGCTTTAGGGTGAGATTTAGTACCAACCTCCGCCGCTTAGTCTACCCATCCCGGCTATAGTGCGCGGCGCCGTGCCCGAACTATAGTCGATACTCATGAGAAATATCAAACTGCTGCAAAATATTGTCCCCGGAATTGATCGGCCCTCCGATTTTCCTTCGTCAGCAGTATCGTCCTCGATCACCGACCGCTGTCGATGGGCCAAACTTCACCGCAGTTACCAAATAACGCGGATCAACGGTGACCTGAGAACGTTGTTTACCCCGCGAGGATTAAATTCAACTCGAGAAATCAATTCTCATGGTATTAAGAAACAAACTCACTCTGGTTCTCTCTCCCTCTCTCTCTCTTTCACGATACACCAGAATTATTTCACTGGGAATCGACGAGGATCAACGTTATTATTCATCGATGAATCGAAAATTTTATAGTCACGTGTCTTTTTTATTTATTTTCTATTTCTTCTTTTTTCATCTTTTGTGAACGATGGTCGGTATACTTTTACCAATTGTAATAAACACATAACAAAATTTAACAAATTTAATAAGTAACAAAAATATACATCTCGGTCAAAATGACCCAGAAGATTCTTTCAGATAGCTGGAGTCTCCCAATCTTTTAATATTAACTTTACAGAGATAACAAATAATGTATTGTATAACAATATCTACGTGTAACCACTGAAGTTACTATTCGGATAGATTGGACCATTGTACAAGTGATGATGCTACAGAAAGATGTTTCTTTGGTTACTTATAGCTCGATGCGATAAAACAACAGATACGGAAGTCGCGGACACGTTAAACGGGCCTGCAAATTGGCAACGAAAAGTAAAATATTTAGTAGCCGAAAGAAACATCGCCCCCTGCCGCGAGTGGGGGGAAATAGACGAAGATAAAAGGTCGTACGAGGAGAGCAGGTCGATCGTAGTAAATTACCAGGAAAGTTGGATACACGCGTACCCCGCGGTGACTGAAGCTACGTAGCGTCGAGGATGGTGTTATCCATCCTGGTTCACCCTACTTACTGTTATCTTATATGGCTGTACTTAGGGTACATTACCCGGAATACGAAGGTACCGAACCCCGAAATTTCTATTAGTTCTACAGGAGGAAACCACTCCACGAAATGGGACCCTTAAGTTTACCGTAGGGGAAGAGACGCGAAAGAATCCATGGGAACAGCTTTCCTCGACTGTGCATTAGTCAAAATGGTACTCGATTATTTATTGCACACGTTTTTTAGGTTTTAGGGAATTGCTCTGTCCGAACGTCGCAAAATAATCTATTTGACAGTCGACTGAACGTTAAATCCATCAAACATGGCGCAAACTTTGGAAATTAATTATGATAAATCTGTTTATTTTTGGGGCTCTTCATTTCTATCGTGCTTTGTTGATGAAAGAAAAATTTCGTTGAACTTTTTCGCTGTCTCTTTCACAAAAATCGTCAGTCACGCCGAAGCTACTATTTTTCTAAATACGTGTTTAAAATTTTAAGTCAGTTCGTCAATTATAGCCTGAAATGTTATGTAGACTGTTTGTCGATCAATTTTGATTGCCAAATTGTTGGACTAAATTTTATCGATGAGATGTACCAGTGCAGGGAACCAAAATACAAACGAAAGTTTCGTAACGATGTTCAAAAAATTACTGCAAATTTGTATCCAGTGGAAATATTAAAATCGACAGTAATCGTGATACAAACTGCAAGGATAAAGACTCGGAGCGAGTAGCGAAGGTTTAAACGCAGGATGCAGGGCACGAAGGAAGAATAGCTCGCAGAAAACGAAACACACAATTCCGCGAAGCTGCTCCCGCTGTTGAGGGTACCTTATATGGCCCCAGAATAAACAACTAAAGGTATAACAAAAAATGAATTGCTTACATGGGGGGAAAAACTGCGCATGAAACTTTAAACGTTACCATTTTCTAATGAAATACATTATCAAAAATTGAAGATCGTCGTTTACCTCTGTTTTCTTTAACACTAGAACTATCCAAGCAGTCAAAATGACCCATTCGTAATTTCTAATAAAACTTAAAAAATTAAAAAATTTACTCGACTGAATTTTTGAGAAATCGTAATTTCCTGTAAGAGAATGAATAAACACTTATTTCTTCGTGTATCTATCGTAGTAATTGACGATAATTCTAGTGTTAATAGTTTGAATTTTTTAGATCGTACAATAAAGAATACAAAACGCTATTAAGAACGAACTCAATGAACGAATTAATCGAGTTAATATTATTTAGGCGGAAGGACCCATGGATGAATGTTAAATTATACGTTTAGAATGAGAAGACAGCGTATACAAAGCTACCGAATCTGTAATAATTGTTCAACAGCGTCGCTCCGTGTGGTTCGAAGTGCAAGTAACTGTCGATAAACATTATTCAGGCGGAAGTTGGGTTTAAAGGTTCGCGTCGCGGAACACGCGTTCCAGGCGTAAAAACGACTCAAGGGTTCAATGTTCGGTTTTTACTAGGAAACTCTCGCGAAGTTTCACGGTCGTTTAAACGCAACTTCGGCCACTCGAATGATGCCCCGTTTAGGGAAGGTTCGACCGTAAACTTTTCCAGGCCGGGCAGAAAATACACTCGCGGCGAGTTAGCCTAACTGCAGGATTCACACGGATGTTTGGCCAACGTCTTCCACCGGGCCGGTAGTCGTTTCGAGAGTCGGCGAGACGAGTCGGGCCACTTGGAACGACAGAACGAGGGATAGTAACTCGTTTCGTGAGTAACGACTCGCCTTCGAAGGAGGAATGGACGACGGAAGGGGGGGGTTTGGCGGATCCCCGGGAGGGAGAAGAGTCAAGTAAACTCGAGAATGGCGGCCTCTTTCATCCCCGAAAACTTCAAAAGCCCGAGGAGTCGCGCCATATGCCACCCTTCGAGAACCTCTTTCCTGCCTTTTTTCTCTCCTCTTTCGCGATGATAAAATTCTAATCAGCTCCGCTGTACGCCCTCGATAGTTTTCGAAGATCCCGGGAGGCGGGCCACGGTTTGGAAATACACGGGGGGAAAAAAAGGACCCTGGAAGGATTCGTCGAGGGTCGATCTCGAAGCGCGACGTATAAATCGTGAACGTTTTTCGGAGTCCGAGCGAACTTCGAGCCCCCGACCGCAATCACCATAAATCGACGCACGCGTTAACCATCCGCGGGAACGAACGATAAAAATAAAAAGATTCCTTTCAAGGTGGATGATCAAGTCCGAAACACTTGGACGATTACCGTTCGCGAGGCCCTTTGCTCGTACCGCTGGAGAATTAATTTAACGACGTGGGCCGCGGCGCAGCAGCGTTCGTCGAACAACTCTGACGAAATGCGTCTCCATCCATCCGAGCGTTCCTTCTCAGCGGGAAATACGAATTAATTAAGAAAAGTGGCTGCAGTTCGATATACTTGTTAATTATCCCGCGTGGTATTTGAGATAATTACCTTGTACACGAATTATGCTTACGAGCGGCTTTTGGGTGAGGCTGACAAGGGAAGAATAATTGTCCGAATCGAGCTTTAGTCAATTAAGAACATTCAGGTCCTCAATGGTATGTGTGAAATAGTAATCACAGTCACCTGGATACTTTTAACGATATAAATAACTAAAGTTACCTATTTCTTGGTGTATTAATTAAAGTTCATGTATGCAAACACTCGATGAGATCAAAGTCGGACTTTAGGGGGCGATGAACATATCTTTGAATAGTGGGTGTCAATTTTCGTAAAAAAAGCTTTTAACTTATTAGGCACCAAATTACTCTTTTTCAAAAGCCATGTTTAGCATGACCCTTCTTTCTCAATAGAGCCGCTTCCCCTGATTTACACACGAACGTTATCTACTCGTAGGCAGATAACGTTAAAGCTCGCGATACAGAATCTATTTTCTCAATAGTGCCGCTCTTCTCAAATACGGAAAATAATATTAAGTTGATCTATAAGTTCGTGTAGTTTTCATTTTATACTGCATGTAACTCGCAACATATGTCTATCGACTATATATTATAAATGACTTGATTAAATTCTCCGCTTTGTGTTCATAATAAAATAATCAGTAATTATGATGAATACCTGTGATGGGAAATTTCTTTGTCAATTAGCTGTGGATTCGACTATGTTGAACTGTCGTGACTTACCTGGAACAAAAAGAGAAAAATCGAGTTTATGACAAAGAACAATTTTGACTTCAATTTGATCAGGGGTGGGGGATATTTTGATTCGACGAATTTTTGACAATAATCGTAATTTAAAAACGCAGAAGAACTAAAAGTTGCACTTATTGAAGTCTGTCAATGAGTTGTTTAATTAAAAATAATTTTCTAAATTCTGGCTAAAGCACTGAAATAAAGATATGTAAAACACTCGTACGCTACTAGAAACGCATAAAACATGTCACGATATCCACAGGATGCGACTTTATGCATTTTGAAAAATATCTGAGCGTTAAGGGGTTGAAACAAAATTTGTTTTGAATAGCGTGAGAGGTACAAAAATATTGCAAAGTTGGGAAAGTATCGAGTTCGTCGAACACCTCGAAAAGATCGTAAGGTCACGGTTCCGAGTGCACAGCGGGCCAGATAATTTGAGCCTGCCGCGCACGGGGTTATTTACTCTAAAGGGGTGTTTCAACACACGATCGCGCACGACTTTTCGGCGGCTCAGCGTTTCCACGTTGCTCCCGTCAAAGCTACTCCTCCTTTTCGAAGGTCAGCCACGTCCACGGCTAGTCCACGAGACCCCGAATTCGATTTTCGGAACGACCTGTACTTTTCCGCCCTCGAGTTGTTGGTTTTACGCCCCGCCGGAGCTGCCAGTCTGCATTTTTCACGGAATTATAACGACGCCGACGAGCCAGCCCAAGGAAAAAGAGGATCGGCGCTCGTCTACCCTCGTCTACCTTGATTCTCATCCGCCCCTATTTTGCGAAGCCCTTCACGAAATTTTTGAATCTATTGTGAGGGAAAAAAATTGAAATTAACCTCTTCACGGACGAGTTATTTTATTTGGGAAGCACTGCATATTTGGAATACCGATAATAATCAAAGTATCTAAAAAATTGCTAACGTAATGGGGGTAAACAATTGTTTCAGTAATTCGAAATGTTCGTATTGAGTAAATATTTATGTCATTGCAGATTATGCTGAAAAAGTACAGGATTCTGAGGACAACGCCACTGCCTAGCAATCAGAGACGAAACGATTGAAATAGTTGCAAGTTATACGAGATCTAATAATATTAACGTCGAGGCGAACGAAATAAATTATTCCCAGAATTTCGATGAGAAAATCCAGCTCCAGTTTTCGTGCAGCGTTCGTTCGCGTTACAACGCCCGGCATTCGACAAATCGTCGCTGGAGGGGGATGAAACGAGGATGCGAGGGGATGGCATAAAGGCATCCCCCGAATTTCACAGACCGGTACGCCACAAATGAAGCACACTTGGGTGGTGCTCGATTTAGCTCGTATCATCCCGTACCCTCGACTAGGTCGTACGCATCGTGCAAACACTGCTGCGTACGTAGAACAAACACACACGCGCGACCCTGTGTACACATGTAATTTTAGGGAATTATAGATACATAGGTTTGGAATTTGCACCACGTATCCACAGAGACGGAGAGAGCAACGAGAGAGGAATTTAAGCGAACGTCTTCCTCATCCAGGAACTTGGAGGCCCTCCACGACTGATTCTAACAATTTTTGGATGGACATTCTATCTATTACAAATTATACAACGTGTGTATTACGATTTAATTATATAGAAAAAATTTTAAAGTTATAAATGGCTGACTAATATCATTGTTAATGCTTGCTCTCACGAGAAATGATTTCTATGAAAGTCCTTTGGACTAACCTAAGAACTTTGATGTATTTTGTTGCTGATAGTTTTGTACCTTAGGAAAGAGAATATTACCTTCTATTCGAATTAAATTTTAATGTTTAATTTTTTATTTTTGGCTCGAGTAATGACTACGTATCGATCTATAGATTGGATCAATTATTGTGGCCAGCCAGTGCTTCTTACAATAGGATTTGTACGATTTTCATTGTAAGTGACTGTAGTCTCTGGGTCAGTGGCCCGTTAAAAAATAGACTCAATTTAGGAAGAAAGGCTCAAGAGGAAACGTCGTTACGATCAAATATACTTAGTGTCGAGATGCTGTCATTTAAGTATCTTTCCTCGATGATCTACAGTGTAGAGGGCTAGTAATTCTGAGCCACAACCTCTTGGTATTCGAGCGGTCGAGGGGTTGATAAGAAATGTTCGTGATTTTCTGATCAAGTGGTTATAGGCCACTGGCCCAGGTACAGTGAGCGTCGCTACGCAAAACAACGCTGTAATATAAACCACGTGGTTCATATTTCAAGGCCGGAAAAGAAGTTCTAATCTCGTTGAACTTCTTTTTACCAAGTGTCACAATCAAGGGGTGGGGAGGTAATCGAAAGTCGAATATGAGGACCACCCTGATGGAGAGTCTTCGGGCGCCAGGAATAGGCGTTCTATCCGCAAATAATTGGAGGACGCCGATGATACGCGCTCGATGTACCAGCAATTAAGTGGGCAAAGCGACGGAGAAACCGTAACGAAAGCTGAGGACGACGATGGCCAGGCCCACTCGAGGCAACCCTGTTCAAACACACGCGCAGCGGATCGCCGCACACGCGACTCGTTTCACGTGTTGGCGCACGCGAGGATCCACGAGCGTTACCCTCGCGGCTCGAATTCGAGGGGCGAGACTCCCGTCGGATTCCCGGGAGCCCCGGCTTGCCTTATGCAATCGTCTATGCAACTCCGGTGCACGCACGCGTGGCGAAACGGAGGGAAACGCGAACGATTATCGCGTCCGTTATCTTCGCGCAAAAGCTGCGCGCGTAAAACCGCCCCAAGGTAGGACTCGAACTTCACGAATTTTACTTACGAGCACGTTCTCTAAAGGGTGTCCAAAAATTCACGCGGGAAATAATTTTGATAGAAAACACAGGTTTTCAATTGAAAATTGTAAATTTTTTACTGATTCGTGAAGCATGTCGTATGGAGTTGTGTATGGAATAAGGGTAAGCAGCCTCCATGGCTTTCAACATTATTAATAGGCACTTTGTATACAATAGATTTCAATTAGATACCAACATAACTAGAAAATCAGGTCGAATAGGACGTATTTTTATATCAATTTTTTTTTATTGTATTCATATGTAGAATCTAGTCCTGAAGTGGTCCTGAAGTCCCATATGCTACGGGACACCCTGTATACAGCAATTCCTCGCTAATTATTCGGGATAGGGGGCACCTCATCGATTTCGATGATTTTCAAATGTGTTTTCCAATTTGAATTTTCAAAAACTTTATTCTTTATGCAAAAATAAAGACGACTCCAAGATCATGTACTTTTGCTCAGTGTCATCAAGGAGGTATGCAAATTTAATTAATAATGATATGACATTTTAAGATATTAAATGGTAACATAATATGCTTAGTCCATTCATTAAGACTAAATAGATCTTTCTAAAATTAGATCCCCTCTGTTAAGGGTTGGCTTAAAATTGAAATTTTTAGTCTTTAAGTAGGCATCGAAGATGTCGTTAATAAAGAGATTAAATGAAACTGGACCTAAATAGGAGCCATATACCGGTTAGAATAAATGACCCTTATATTTGACAAAGAGCGAGCTATTACAAACATAAATGAACAATCATCCAAGCCCAAGGCATTCAACTTCCTAATCAGAAGTTTATGATTAATGGTATCAAAGCCTCATAGAAGTCGGTGTACACATATATATGGTTGCCATTGTCTATTTTCTGCAACAAATAGTTTTGGTATGGTGTTAGATTCGTTATAGTTGAATCTATTTTACTCGTCTGTTATAAAATTTCTCGTCAAAACAGAGATCTTATTAACAACGATACTTTAAAAAATATTTAACGTGACATTAAGAATATAAATTGGCCAATAATTAATATTGTTTTTGCAGAATTTAAAAATGGCCTACTTCTCAGAGCTCAACTTAAAGTAATTCTACGATATTGAATTATTAAATATTTTTACCGTTTACACTACAATTTGATCGAACGTCGAGAAAAATGAAAAATGGTAACAATGTATAAAATATCGATAAAGTATCGATAATCAATAGTCCCAACCTTAATTTCGACTATTACACTGATCACTGCCTCCCAACGTGAAGCAATTAAAAAATTACATTAGACTCGTCACCTTCATTACCGATACAGTAAAACAAAATTACCATTTTTTTTAATGCCAACAGTCTTTCTTTGAGGTTTCGAAACATGATTTAAAATCTGTCGAGAAACATTAATCTAGGCGAAGAGAAACACACGTTTGAGCAGCTTTTTGAGCATCAAGAGCAACACCGACGAACCGAAAGGTCATTGTGGTCCGTCGTTTGTTCGACCGGCAGACATTTGAATCGCTCGACGGTTCTATTGGCCGTGGCAGCGAGATGAATCTATTTAGGCCGATTAATATGTTAATTGCCATGCAGTTCTCACCGCGATCGTCAATCCCCCATGAAAACGATCGCGGGGTACACGTGAAGCAGCCACTCGAGTAGAAAACCCCCGGCGGAGCCACGTGACCTACGGCCCGTGGGGCGAACAAATAATACCGTCCACTCGAAATTTCGCGCTGGTCGAAGGTAATAGATTAATCTCGTACACGTCCGACATCCGTACGATCGGTGAATGCTCCGCACACGCCATGGAGAACTCAACCATCCATGGGATACGCCGTATGGGCCGGTTTTCAACCCTTCGCGGGACGCGTCGCGTCATCTCGACCGTGTAATTATCGGTGTCTTTCCTTTCGTCGGAGCCTGGTTAAACATAGGACCTCGGACGCGCAACGAAATAATTAAACCGTTCACTTGGCTAACGAATTTTTTACAAGCAACACGCCGCTGGCGAAAATTGAGGCTTTAACTTACAGAAGGGCGTGGGTACAAGAACCTCGTTTCGAAAAAACAACGTTTCGAGAATTAACAGTAATGATACTTAAATGTTAATAACTATTACTGCTGTTAATAGGAAAATATACATTGTAATTTCTAGTTTCGTTTGTAAACAAGATGTAACGTCTCGTGCCCCTTTTTTACTATGGAATAATTTATTCCATTCGA